GACAATATATTTTTCCCACCAATACTTTGATTATTTCATTTGTTTTCACTGTGCGCTCTACGAACGTAAATAGAATTAAAATAATAATTTCAATCATTCATCAACCATCATCATGGCTATATGTTGGAATAAAAGAATGCACATAGTGCCCTTTGTTTGAGCATTACTTACAGCAAAGCTATTATCTAGAATGTTTGAGTTATCCTCTATTGTTCCAAAATTACATTTACCACCATTTTTACAGTCACATAATAATGTCAGGAACTCTCTGGAAGAATTTGCAACACCATCATTTGCAACTACGCCAAGTCTAATCATAGATGTATCTTGTGGTGTCCAAGTAAACACTCCAGCTGTGAATAAATTTATACATATATTTATTTATTTACCTAATTATTTAGGCGCACACATGCGCCAAGGCTTGCCAAAAGAGAATAAATATATCATTGTCCTACAAGTAGATATCCCCTCTCACAAGGCAATCTTACACACAAGATGCTTTACACAAACTAAATCTCAATGCGAGGCTTAGAGTGTGGAGCTGTTTGCTCGTTAGAAAAATCCTGCAACAATCCTGCAACAAAATTGAACACAGGACCCTGGAATTTGAAGGCAAGCACCTTACCAAACTATTAAACTCCACTCTGAAATACGAAATTATTATTCAAAAGAAATACTTCAGACTTGCAGAAGTCATCCGCTGTTATCCGCAATATTTTTTCATAAAACTAAACAGGATTATTAACAATGCTTCAAAGCTAATTTGCAACGATGTGAGGCAGCTAAAATCTCCAATCAATGCTGATATTAAAAGAAAATAAAATGCAATAATATTGGATTTTATTTCTTTCAACATCATTCTGTTGGGGGCCATCTCGTCTTTAAAACATAAAGTCATATTTTTTCCTACGTCGTATGCCTCTTTATCCATATTTAAGGGAGGTCCTGTCCTTGGATATTTCGGAAGAGTAAGGGTTAAAACGATATATGGTTCATTTCAGCCCCTCTCGGTGTGGAATGATGTGAACTCGTAGCTAGTATTAGCTCCTCTTCACGGTAGTTACGGCCATGCCCATACGCAATTCACCACAAAACGCTGCAAGATATGGGTTGTTCTCCTACCTTTACCTTTAGCTGTTAGTAATGGTGCCTGTATCTCATAGTAATGGTTTACTGTAAGTTAGGCCTAAAGTCGTCGACGTCGTAGTAATGGTAATAGTTGTGATGGTAGTAATTATATAGTACGTATTTTTTAGAATCTAAGAAATTCCAATATAATGTATGCATAATTCACATATTCATGCATTATTTGTCTGTATCTAATTAATATTTATACACTACAAAGCGTCTTCATGCCTACATCATTACAGCGTGAAACTCACTTGTTGGATCAATTGAAGCTCCAGCTACGGGCTCGAGAAGAGAGAACGTAATTTCATCATCGTCTTCATCTGTAGCAACCACAGTAAATGTGTAATTCTCACCAACAACTGCATAGATATAGCTCCCGTTTAGGACATTATTTTCGTCTTCAATGTGTGTGATATTCGGTGGGAAATTCACTGAAACGATACAACATTGAAAACGGTAATGTTTGGAAGCGTAAAAGTGCCGCTCAAATATTCAGATGACAAGATTCTGAATCTCGTCATGTCTACATCCAGATGACGAGATCTTGGATTCCATCATGTCTACATCTTTTACAAGAGATGATGAAATGACGAGATCCTGGATATGATGAGATCCAGGATCTTGTGATCTTACGATCTCTTCTAAAGGATGTCGGCATGATTAGATCCAGGATCTCGTCATATAATCATCTCTTCTAAAGCATCTCGCAGTGAATCATCAGCATCAGCAGTGAATGGGGGGGGGGGGGCTTGATGATCAGTCGAGGGGCGCTAATTCACTAGATGTATATATGACGAGATCCAGGATATTTTCATCTGATCATCTTTTGTATAGGATGCCGACATGACCAGATGAGTATCTAGACATCTGGGTTGCACTTTTAAGCTTCCATGGTAATGTATCCCTAACCTGAACAAACAATTAATATCGTAATAATAATAATAGAATTTAAGCTTACATTATCGTCAAAATACCATTCAAATAAAATAAATGTGTATATCATTTGAAACACTTACTTAGTTCCTGTACATCATTTGTAATAACTTCGTTAGTTTGAAGCGTATTAGCACCTGTATTAGTATCTTTTGTTGCCAGAGAATCAAACACACACTGAGAGTTGTCCCCACATGTTTCAACAGCCTTAGAGTACAACTCGGTACCCTCATTTTCTTCTATTAAGTCTTCTAAGAACTTTGGGACAAACGCCTCATCATTAATTGTATCGTACGTTTCATTCGATCTGTATGTAAATAATGATTCTGATGCTGAAATCCGCCCTGCAAAGTCATGAAAAAAAATATGCTGTTAGTATTTTTTTTTTTTTTGTCTTTCGTGGGGATCACCCACCTTTATTTGTTCTCTTTTTTTTCATGATTTTCAATTTTTCGTTTTCTCTCCTATTATACAGTGATCTTATGCTGTACCAATATTTACATATGCGTTCACAATTCAAAACAATTTTGCTTTTATACATTAATGCAATATAAAACAAATTTAAAAGAAAAATTAATTGAATTTCATAAGCAAACTTAAGTTTTTTTTAAGTAGGAGAAAATTGCACATTTCCCGTACTTCATTTCCTCAATGCCTATACATACATGCAATATATGTATCATACAAACACACACACACACACACAAATACATACATAAATACACCAACAAACACACACCCACGCCCACACCCACACCCACACACACACACATACCCACCAATAACCTACACATGTACATAGGCCTACGTATTTTTTTGTTTGTTCATTAGTATAATGGTACAAATAAAAAAGAATGATTACGAAACAATTATTTTACAAATATAGGCGAGGCGCAATTTTCTAATAAGGACAAAATAATGTACCAAAACTTGTTGTTCCTTTCAATTGTAAATCACATCTACATCATTTGAATAATTTATCATGTTACTAAAGCTTACACAATTACTTGTTTGAAGTATCAATGATCATAAAAGCGAGTCAAGAGTAACAACAATATACTTGATTATTATCAATAAGTTGAAAATGGTAATGATCACAATGAGGATGGCGATGATGTGGAGATGAGGATGACGATGTTGATATATTTAATAAGGAATCAAAGATGTGCGAAATATATCATGGTAGATGAATTATTAATAATTTCACAGGTATATTATTGGATATGAATACAATTTAATTTGTTTTGGTAGGCCTACTTACAAGAATTTCCAAAATCGTAAAGCTCTTCTCCAGTGTATACATCACCTGCTTTCGCAAGTTCGTCTTTTTCATTTCTTTTCACAAAATCATTTGTCACATTATCATCCCACACTCCTGTTATAATAACGATATTAATGTAGTAATTGTGAGAATATATGTATAACTTAATTACATGGAGACGGTTGCTTTATTATGTTGTTTGATTTACCTATCGGAATCAAAATTTGTGGTCTCAGCAATAGTTTTTATTGTCATGTGACACTGCGAGTGGGGTAGTTACATGGCAAGAGGTCATACCTATAATACTCTTCCTATATTGTGGGAACCTGTTTGTCTTTTTACGATGCTTGAATATGCTTAATACTTTTACATAGGCCTCAATATAGACCTTGCGATCAACGGTACATGAACATCAGCATACAATGGGGTGGGTGAGAACGGACGTGCCGACTCGTCCCGTGGGCCCGAACGTTTGTCACCTATTTACCAACCTAAACACAAATTCAAAATGCTACGAGGCTATGAGTAATTCAATTTATTACGTGAATTTTCTTCCAAACTTCTTTTTGTAATTGATTACGTTTGTTTTTCTTGCTTATCAAATGCTTTGGTATTTTTTTACGACCTAATATAGTATGACGCTAATATTTTTACTGTATATTGTTGTTACCATCACAAGGATGTTATGATTTTAACGGATTTTGTGTCTGTATGTCTATATGCGGCAAATTTTCCATGCATTCATCACTTGTAGGTCGGACTATTTGCAACAACGTTCTACATGGACTTTCTGATAAATTAATCTCAAAACTGCAGCGTGCTCAAAATATATCTGCTAGACTTACTTCAGGAACTCCACATTTTCATCATAGCACATCCATTCCGGGATGATGTCCGGCGGGGAATAGTTTAACTAACTTTATTTAAGCGTATTTAAGTTTAATATAAGATTTTAGTGTCCTGGGTACGACGTTATAAACTATATCCCGTCCAACTAATTCCGGCAACCCCATTTTGTGGTCTTAGCTGAACAAATGGTGGATGAACTCCTCGGAGCCAACGGTCAACCATCCTCAGGTCAAACCTATAGTTTAAGGAGTAGGTTTAATTTTATAACGCAACATCTTACTCACCAAGTGTATGGAGGCTTTTCTGCATGATGCGCTTTACAAATCCAACTATTAGCAGTGGGTGCGGATGTGGGAAACCATTTAAAATAAAGGACCCCGCACTAAATATCTTAACAACTGATTTGTATGGAACTTTCCGTAGGAGTTACAAAAAGGACATTATTCAATTTTAGTGATAATCCAGATTCGGATATGAACCCATGGTGTCATTTAAAGTATTCACATTCTATACTAGAATATCTCCAAAACTAATCAATGGATCTGAATGATCATGTTTTTGAATAGTTTGTCATGGTCGAAGGAAGTAACATTTTTTTGGTAACGATCTGGAGTAGGGGAGTAGGGTGTGGATATGAGTACCACCTAAAGAAAAACGTCCCAGACCAGATATGTTAAAAAAAAAACCATGATTTGAATAAAAGTTTCTGGAAGAGTTAACAAATTTACAAGGAAGACATAATTTAGTGTATATTTGGGTAAATTAGTTAATGTCCCAGAGGTAAATGTCTTAATTTATGTTTATTTGGTTTGTTGTGTTCCAAGGAAGCATGTTTAAATAGCTACCGGATCGCACATAGCTAAAAACGCTTTGGTGGTCTAGTTGATTATGACGTTCGCTTTGCAAGCGACAGTCAATTCGGTCCGAATCCCGGTGTATGTTGAGAATCTGTCTTCATTCATTTTTTTAAAAAAGGAAAAGATGAGTGGGAATTTTATACAGGGCAGAATTATGATGTGTGGAGGTACACACTCTCGGAGTGTGCTCTAGTTCATACATAATTGTAATCTATTACAGCATTATTTTAACTTACTTCTATTGGCTTTGTGATAATTTACAGATATCTGTAAGTTGTATTGTTACATGTTGAATGTCCCAAAATGTTCAGTTTCTGCTGGATGGTTCAACCTCATTTAATATGGTTCAAATAAAATAAAAATCAAGCATAGTTGGTTAGGGGACGGGAAGCACACAATTCACCAATATATAATACTTAATGCTTAAAAAAATCGAGCATTTCTTCGAGTTTCTGTCAGTACATACCACAAAAGCTAAACCCAAATTACTATGGAAAACAAATGTGAGCTGTCGTGACAAAATGAATCTTTGTGGTACAGAAAATGAAAAAATGAGTTATCGACATATTTATATAGATGAATATATAACCTTTATTTTGGTTTTTAAATCATGTTCCTAGAATTTAAAAACAGAGTAAAACCGGAGTAAGATCATTTTAAAGTTCAGTTGTCTAAAAACATAATTAAGAAAAAATCGCCTCAGAAGATAAACAACTCATAAATTTTGTGTTGGTTTTCCTATCAATTTTGAAAAATAGCTTTACGAAATGTGCCCAGTGTGCCTCAAAACATGATTACCTTAGGTAACTCAATTCGGAACTTCTGTTACTATGAAATATACATATTAAAATTTTTGTCAAAATATTACTTATAAAAAATATATTTTCTGGAATATATCAACTTGACCTGGCGTACCACAAGACTCATTTTGTCACGATAGCTCACAAATAGTATCTCGACTTCGTAATATGCAATACAGCTGGCTTTGAACATAGAAATTATATGAAACAACAGGAACTTTTGAAACGTGTATATTGTTATATATAGTATTATATATTTTTATATTTATATAAACAAATTAACATTAAAATAAAATAAAATAAAATACATAAATTACTCTCTTTTCATGAATTTTATATTATATTACTGTATGTATCTTATATAGATATTTATAACTGAACAAATAAATTACTGATTTACACAAGTTAATTATTTGGTTAATTTTAATTGGTTATTTTTACAAACCTAGAAGTCCTCTAGCCATTCCCTTGTAATTAACTGATGCTTGGAAAACAATATTCAGCATTCCACTGGAAGCAGCGACTGAAAACGATACGCCATCGGACCAGGATGATAAATACCTGTCTTCTCCGCTAGCCAACTCTCCATCGACAAGTTGAATACTAAACGATGTATCCTCAATACTCGTGTATGCATCTGCAAATGAAATATTATTGTTTATATATAAAGGATAGGTCCTATGTAACCTAGGCTAATCCACACATGCTTACGGGAGAACTGAAAATCGTCCAATGATCTCGTTTAGATCCTGGCAATTGTTTTTTTTTTTATCGAACAAATTCCTCATATAATAATGAATAGCTATGCTAATTCAAATGAGATCACAACCACAACCAGTGGTGCAAAAGGTGAATACGCTTACATACTTTCATTGTTTTACAAAAACATATATTAATTCAAGTTTTATTAATATTCAGCAAAATACAGCCTTTTAAAAATAAGTCTTAAAATTTAGGATTTTAATACCTAACCTCCGAAAACTGTACTCTTGTCCATGTTCACAAACCAAAGAGCATAGAGGCATTTACCTTCAACTAGTGCTGTTTTATTGATAACTGTTCCATTTACAAGTATATCTAAATCCAAAGCATCTTCCGTGATCCTCATTTCAACCTTTGATAGAAAATGTTTGTTTCACTTACTTATGGATTTGCATTTAAATATGAGTCACACATGTCAAATTATTGAAATATACAAATCCCTTACCTTCTAGTTGTGAAAGAGAACAATTATGCATGACAACCAAATGAAGTGAGGTTGTATAAAGGAGGTATAGAAATAAGTATATATTTTATATAAAAGTTAATAGTTTCATACAACTTTAGCTGCATGTGCTTATTATGTTGTTTCGTTGGATAGCAATTTGACCTCATTCTGGCCTACATGAACCAAAGCGTGCAGACCAGTTGGGCCCATAGAGATAATAATAAGAATACTAGAGCGCTAACTGCAATGTATTCGATGTTCGAAATACGCAGAGCTGTGTGTGTGTACCATCCAAGATGGCTGCCATACATTCAGACCAATCAAATTTCGCCTAAGCACTATGGCGCCCTCAATTTACACAGAAAGTTTAGTACAGCTAGTTACCCATATGTTTTAAACTCGAGCGCTGTGGTGTATGAGTGTATTGTACACGATTTTAATTTTGTTTTAATTTTTGAATAAGATGCTATACTTGGCCTTTTTTTGGCTACGATAGTTTAATAATTTGTTATTATCAATACTAATTATCATTAATGAAATAATAGTCTGCCAAAGGGCTTATTTATGGTAATAATATGTATACTAAGCCTAAAGGTGGCGCTTTCCTACTGCAGCCATCTTGGATGGTACACATACACAACTTTTCATTGCTTCGCCATCTTGTCAGCACTCTAGCTGTTTAATAGCTCTATGATTGGGCCCGGAAATGGGTCCGATTGTAAAACAATTTGCTGAGTTACGGCTGGCGAATACACTGTATGTGAATACGGTGCCTGTGAAGCAATACCAGTCCAGTGAAAAACGACGGTGATGGCGATTTCATTATATCAACAGAGGCAATGTAGCACGAAAATTAATGTAGGCCTTTTATTATCGCATAGAATTATAATTTTAATGGAAACAGCTATGTAGGCCTACCTTAGTGCCATTGTCAATAGCACCTACAAATGACGTAAAGACGGTGGCACCAGCTACGCTGTCGGTTTGTAAAATAGGAGGTTGCATTCGACACTGTACAACGAATCGTTGATTGTCTTCTAACATTACCTCCTCCAATATGTATTCCCCAATACCGTTGAATGTATAGTCATAACCATCTAGCGTGGTCATATGGGGGTCACCAAACATCCATCCTGATAATAATATAACATGATTTATATGAACATTACAGTGGCGGATCCAGGAATCCAGGGGGCCCAGAGAGGGACTTTCACAGATGGCGGATCGATATTACCTCAGCCCCAACGATGTAGGGGCCTAACCTAAAAAGCCTTGTGGGTTTTTAGGCTAGTTTTGTAAGAACTGGGTCTGGGGGTAATTATCAGTGATAGTGCTACGCTCGCACACCCCCACTTTTTACAACATACTTTGCAAAGTGTAATACATACAAAAGCGGTGTATTGAAATAAGGAATAAGCAAACAACATGAAATGCAAAAAAAAAAATTAAAAAAAATAACCGAATAATAAACTTATCTGACCTACCTGTGTTTGGAGGAAGATAACCATCGCAGGAGCCCGCTGGACGTTTTTCAGTAAACAAACCGCAGAAGTATGGATCCTGAGAGGCGGCGCAGCAATAATACTTCGGAAATAGATCTTCAACTACATATTAAATAAATATTATAGGTCACAGCTTCGAAATCATAGTGAAAAATATTAAATCTAGGTAGACTGCGATGATCCATTTATTATCTTTGGAGTAATCTTGCTAACAGACACACGTACAGGAATTAATACATAACCTCTCCTTTGGCGGATGTGACAGATAGATACAAAATATTAACAGTCCTCGATTATAATTATATATACAGATTTAAAATTTAACCAAAGAGGAATTTATGAGTCAAAAAATGAATATTTATTCATTGTTGTACTACACTATTTCAACTGTATCGCAAAGTGCAGCAACGAATCCGCATACGCACAGCTAAGTGGTTATGTATGAACTAGAAGAAATAATTATATAGTACTTAACTAGGTTAGATCAAAATATTTCTTCAGGCCTTGCAGTAATGTTTTTATGCATTAATCTAGTGTATGATACGCAACTATACTGTTTATATACTAAATGTTTATTAGGTCTGACATGCTTATGCAAACTCAGACAGTGTCATACGACGCATCCATCGAGATGTTTCATTCCGTCGGTCTTAATTGCGAATTAAGGCTATCCATAGGCCGAATGTCAAATGTTGTCTCTTCGGACTTACGTGCGTTTAACAGACGCAACTGCCTCTAGGACAATAAAAGGAGTAAAATATTTTACATAATTTAAGTTCGGCCTATTTAAGAGACTTTATTTAATACTGTAACCAACATTGAGGGTATAACCCATCTTAAATTTTTTTTTACCTAAATACTTTGGCTCATGTGCACTTTAAAGAACCTAGTGGTGGTACCTCGGTATATTGGTTGTGGACATAGGAGATATAGCTATTACCGATTTACCTCAGACACGAAGAGACCCTTAGGGGAGTAGTTTAGATTGATGGTGCATCCAAAAGACCAAAATCAACAGAAAATTGAAAAGGAGAAAACAACTTAACTACGAAAATCATTACGGAACAAAAGGTTCGGTAAATAAAGCCAAATGGTACGTTCCATCAAACAAATAAAGAAAAAAAAAAACAACTTAAAGCAACTAAAAAAAATATACGTGGTACTTAGGTATTAATGTTCTTATAGATATTTGATCTTAAATTCCATGCTTGTTGAATGTATTTTTTACAATATTTATCAAAGATGATTGAAAGATTTTCATCTATATCAGATAGATCATCTAAAAATATATGATGTTTAAAATCATTAGAACCATAAATGAAGTTAGTCCAATGAATGTCTAAGTCATGGTTACGTAGATCTCGTTAGCAAGATATTGTACGAGCTAGTCCACACCCCGAGTGCTTAACACTTCGGTATAAAGCGATATATAGGCCTAAACCTAACTACATTACATTACATACTTAGTCTATAATTGGAATAAAAGAGTTTAAACTTCTTTCGCGGTTTCATCTTCACTACTTTGTTGGTACACTAACGTCATTTTCATTATGGACTTAATCTCAAGTAAGAACATGAGTAAACTTAGATGAGTTTCGTTATAACATACCCTATGTAACCCCAAAATGTAGTAATAATAAAATACTCAATTAATTTAGTTGTAATGGATAATTATGCTCTTATACTAGACCCACGGAAAACCCACATCCGTTCTCTGTGAGAGCTTGGCATATCGTCATTAACGATCCGTCCAGTTCTTTGTGGAATTGCGTCGACTGGCGACCGTTACGTTTGCGCAATGTAGTAACTATTAGCCTAGGCCTACTAGGGAAACATAACTGGAGATCAAACCACGATGGTTTTGGGGCTGTAAAAAAAAAGAAATAACCACCGAATAGAGTACACCAGGTTAATATTAAAATTAACATCCTTTGCATCAATATCATTTTATTAAGAAGTTTGTAATCTCATTCATCCGAGCTGAAACTTCAAGAATAACATCAAGATTCAATTAAATGAAAATTTCAACTTACATATCCAGTTCCAAAAGGCAAAGAAACTTGTCGGCTGGTACCTTTCAACAAAACTGCTTTGCCAAAAACTACCATATCCCACGATGAGTGATTTATCTCCACGGTAGCAGCATCTTATACCGGCACCAGTTCGAGATGGTGTTGATGTTTGAAGACAGAAAGGCAATCCTGTTGACATAAGCAATTCAGAATTGTCATATTCACTGTTAAATAATAGTTCAACAGTTTATATTTTTCGAGGCAGGTTCAAATACCGTATTATACATAGCCTTTTAGGGGCGACGTTCTGGTCTTGAAATAAAAGAAGTCGTCAGAAGTCACGGTATGATCTAACTATGCCTGTTGCATAGAGTAATGAGCTGTACTTTTGTATGGAAAAATATCTCCGTGGTCATACAATACTCTCCACACATAAGTATAAACGTGTATATACTGTTGTTGGTAACACAATACAATTTTTATTAATAGTGTTTTCAATAAATACAAATTTATGTTACATAGGCTAAATGGTTATAACAGCGAGACATGTTCCTCTAATGTATATTTGATAATATTTTGGGTCATTCATCCTCTGTATAAATTAATCTTCAAGTTATTCGTTTGTAAGTCACATGAAGCGTTGTTTATATCGTTTGGTTTGGTTAAACGTCTTACGTGATGTATATGACATACACACACACACACACCCACTCCCACACTCACACACAAAAAAAAAAAAAAAAAAATATTTAGTGTTTAAAAAAAAATATTACGGATATAATAATACCATCTAAGTTGTTAATATTCGTCAAAAGATTCTCATCTAATGGACTGCTGGCAGTGGTTCTTCTTGCTCTTTCTCTTCCACGGACTCCGTTTCCATAACTACCATCACTTCTCCCTTGACCGAATGCGCAAGGGCACGTTCCTAATCGGTGGTCCCATTCACTTGGATCAGGCTCTTTTGAATACCAGTTGAGGCACAACTGTTTGACGTTTACTGTCCATGGACTATTCCTATCAACACGATATATCCACCTTGCCTTTAAGCCTGTGTTTCCTAATACCTGATCAGGGCGATACCTTGATAACGCGGTAGGAAAATTTGACGAATTTAACTGTGCGTTGACATTGTCTACAGTGCTACCAAATAAAGCATTGTAGCCAATGATAACATCCATTGGATCTAATATTTCTGCTGCCCATTTCATTTCGTTGATCTGATAGTTGAAGAGAATAAAGCCAAATATACCATCTGTGACCAATGCAGCTTGGAAAGTATTCGTCTGAAATTAAGAACAAAAAGGTAATTAAATAGCATTTCGTATAATAAACAATTGTATGCTGTTCTTTTGCAACCACTGTCAAGGCTCTATGTTGTGTATTGCTCAATCAAGAAAATATCATATTGATAAAATAATGTTCAAACTGAAGGTTTCGTTGAAAGTTTGTACAACGCATGTGTTTTCAAATTAAATACAAATGTAGTACGGTGTAATGTAATGAAGTATTACAAAAAAGGAAGTGTTACGTTATATATAATAACTTTTATGAAGAAAATAGTTGTTTCTGACATGATTTCATGGTGTTGCCTCATGGCTGCAACGCACATGCGCAGTATAAAAGCTCGGCACACTGCTTATAATTCACTAGTTTCAGATTTAAAATAACATTTTTGGATTAGAGAATAAAAAAAAACCTTATTTGTCCTGATGGAAGTTTATTTGGCGTTCCTGCAACAAATAAATAGTATTCAAACACACCATTCATTATCGGTAAAATGTGCACAGAATAAGAATGTAAAATATTAATAAACATTTGGTTTATAATCACAACTTGATTATATCATGGAGCTACATGATTATATGATCTATACGTACTTTGTCCGTGTAATTTATTGCAGGTACTTGTTGAAGTTTATGCCAAGTAATTAGTAGCATCCAGTCAGCCTGAAATTGTGTTTTATCAAAATAATTTTCTTCTGACACTGGTGAATTTTGAATTTGTTCTGTAACAGTCTGCAGCATTTCTTCTGTGGCAGTAGATGGATTTTCGTTATCATACACCTACACAAGAACGAAATTAACAAAAAATTACTGTAAAAATACAATTACTATTATTCAGACTTCAATATTTTTCATAATTGCAAGATTTAATTAGATTTACTCTTTCTCTTTCTTCTGATAACTTTAATTCACATTTTAACAAAATTAATACTTGTAATGATATTTCTTTTGGCACTTTGATTTTTAAAAAGAAAAATAAAAAATGTGTAAAAGTTTATGTAAATTAATTTTTTTAAAAACATTGAAATGCATCAGTTCAATTTGTGAAAATGCCTCGCAGAATATGCTTTATTGTATTATTGGTATAACAGAGGTTATTACAGTATTAGACTTTTCACACATAGTCTCAGTTGTTGTTTAGTTTTCCCCCAATCAGCAGCACTATCACTTTCACTATCCAAACATATAAGTATTTCCCAGTTTGGTTTCTCAGCTGCAGAATTATTCTCCTGAAGGCAATTAAAGCAACTCAATCGAAACGTTGAGACATTTATTCTCAACAAACAACAGTTCTTTTCAGAGTTATCTATACTTGGTGTACCGCAAGCATTACCTATATCAGAGTTCAGTCTCAACACAATTATTTATTTATAATCTGACAATATAATGGACACTAATCATTTATTAGACGGTATGCCTTTTACTGGCACACAACCTTTTAACTAACACATACTAAGACACACACACACACACACACACACACACACACACATATATATATATATATATATATATCTGTCTCTTATACACATCTAGATGTGTATAAGAGACAGGTATTATACATAGCCTATATTATATATAATTGTATTGTATCATGATTTATTTATAAAAAGCATCCCTTCGGATATCGCGTCTGGTCGTCAAATGCTAATAAGAAGAGGGCGTATATTGATTACTGTTATTTGCCATGCATCAAGGATTAGTGTTGTCTAACTACGCAGGCACATGAGTATAACAAATTTAAGTGCTTATATATATATACATATATATTACAGAAAAATTCTAAACCGTCTTGCGGTAATTCTATAAATGTATTTAAATACTTTTTTAAACGGTAAAGAAGAAGAATCTACGAGAGTGAAAAAATTGGTGTTTCAATCGGGAATAGAACCCGGGACATAATGATGTCTGTGCAGACGCTTCAACTAGGCCATTGAGGTTTTGTTGGGAATTAAAATCCGATTAAAGCATTTAAATATATA